CTAGAGGTGGCGTAGTGGAATTTCCGCGGACATAGCCGATTCCCTGTGTGACAGGGTTATTGCATCCTTATGAGCTCGTTTATCATAGGGGTGAAATAGTCCGGGTCGTAGGACGAGTYTGAGCTCCAAGATCGCGTCATGGTATCATCGTCGATGGGATAGCTCGGGTCGGGGTATCGTCACCGCGCACGAGCACGTGCAGGACATGCAGACTCAGTGACGCCTCAGTGTGCTCGTACGGGATAACGGTGTCGCCGCAAATCTCGGTGGGCGAATCGACGTACGGGAATGCGTGTAAGGGCGCAACTTGGATCGCGTWTACACGTGTTCTCGCACTGCGTTCGCGGGGCCAGACTTCGGATTGTCTAATTGCATCGAAAATTTCGATTATGCAAGATGCAACCATATCACAAACCCTTATCGTGAGACAGGCCAAAATGAGAACGAGATCGCTATTAGGGCCAGATTCTTATCCCATCCACAGCTGCATCGGGTGTGGGCAAAGATTCGACACAAACAAAAAGCAAGGATAGGGATTCTCAGCAAAAAGATAGACAAGCAGGGCATAACATCCATACATCCATTCATTCGACAATCATACACATAAGGCCATCGGGACAGACATCGCAAGGACGAGTGTAAACAAAAACCCAAGCCTAGATATTCAGAAAGCCGAAACAAAAATAAGAACGGGCAACCGCCCGGAGCCGCAATTAAAATGTATAGACACAGATGAAGAGGGGGAAGAGACAAAGAAGCAGCAAATCCGTGTCCATCGACCTCAACTCTCTCCTCCTCCTCTCTCTCTCTCTCCGATGCGGACAGTCCGTCGTCACGCACCAACCCACGAAGTTGTCACCCCGCTTAGTCCTCCCGCACCCGTAGGATTCGCCCGTGCCCACAGTCCGTCGTGGCCCACGTCAATCCCACGCGTTCGGCACCAGCCCGTCGGGTCGCCCAACTCCTACTCTACTCACCTCTTACTTCGCTCGTGTGCCGACCCTTCCTGATCGCGCAACCCCGAGCTTCCAACA